GTTCAAAGAATGTTCAGAACATGTCAAGTTAAAGGGCTTCTGCTGACCAAATCTGGGATAATTTAGCATCAAAATAAATATGGACAATAAAAGACAATAAACTATTAAATAAGAAATTACGGTTCTAATACAAGAAGGAAGGAAGAGAAGGGACGCTCTTCCTTTCAGTTGAAAGCCCACTAATAAACGTAAGAAGAAATCATGAGTTCAGAAAAAATGCCATTTGATAAGCATCATGATAGTTCATTCAGGTGTGAGTGGATATTAAAATGGTGCAAGTTCGTGGAGTACCAAGGTATTTTCATAATCTCATATTGCCACAAGATACTCATTAATTATAATAGGAACAGTAATAACTTTATGGTGAAGGCACTACCTTCGTCACTAAGTGTTCAAAGTTAACACCAACAATGCGACAAGTTGGCATCATCTCCCTTTTAATATGATGCACTGAGAAAAACAAAATATAGTTCTTACAGTACAAAATGGTTATACAAAAATGTGTAACCTCAGTCTAATCGTGGAGCAATATCAGACAAATCCCAAATGAGAAATATTCTATGAAAACACCGAACTGCACTTTTTAAAAATGTCAGTGTCCTAAAAGACAAAGTAAAACTGGAGAACTGTCCCAGATCAAAGGACTTACAAAAGCAGACAACTGAATGCAATGTGTAATCTGCGATTTTCTTTTGCTATAAATAGCATCACGGGGACAATGAAAACAATCTGCTTTACATCTGTGGATAATAAAATAGTAGGGAATTGTAGTAAAGTTAATTTCCTCATTTTGATCATTGTGTCTGGTTATCTAAGAGAATGTCCTTGTTTTTCAGACTTATACACTGAAGTATTTAGGGGTGAATGGGCATCATGTCTACAACTTACTCTCAGGTAGTTCAGAGAAAACAGTTGAAAGACAGAGAAGGATAGAGAAGATGGGATAAGCATTTGGTGAAAAGTATGAAGGGGCAGAGGGAGAAGCGGCTTCCCACTGAGCAAGGAGGCTGATGCGGGACTCGATCCCAAGATCCTGGAATCGTGACCTGAGCTGAAGGCAGACGCTTACCCGGCTGAGCCATCCAGGCATCCCTCTTTATTTATTTTAAAGATGTTCCATCTCCTCCTGGCTTGCTAATGAGAAGTTATTAGAATATCTTGCTGTTGTTTCCCCATATGTCCTGTGTCTTTTTTATCTGGCTGCTCTGTTTTTGATTTTCAACAATTTGATTATGATACCTACATGTAGTTTTCTTTACATTTATTCTGCTTGGGGTTTATTAAGTTTCTTAAATCTGTGACCTGATACTTTTCACCAAATTGTGAAACATTTTGGCCATGGTTTTTTTGCCCCAAACTCCTACCTTATTCCAGGGGTTCGAGTACATGTATGTTGGGTTGCTTGACACTGTTCCACAGATCACTAAGGTTCTGATGTTTTCTATTGTTTTGTCTTTGATTTTTTTTCTCTATTTCAGTTTGAACAGACTTCAGGATTCCTGACCTTTTATTTCACAGTGCCCAATTTGCTGTTAAGCCTATCCAGTGGTCATCCCCCCCCCCATTTCAGATATTGTATTTTACAGATCTGGAGTTTCCAGTTGGTTCATTTTTATAGTTTCTGTTTCTTTCTGCTGATAGTCCCTACCTAGTCACTCATTATATACGTCTTGGTCTGTTGGTTGGCTGGTTACTCTTGAACATGTCTATAATAGCTGTTCTAAAAGCCTTGTCTACTAATTCCAACATCTCTGGATATTTGTTTGTTTGTTTGTTTCTCTGGACATTTTCCTCCTGGTTATGGGTCCTATTTTCCTGCTTTTTCCCTTGGCTAATATTTTTTTGTTCTATGCCGGACATTATAAATGCTGTGTTGTTGAGGGTCTGAAATTTGCTGCCTGTTTTTTTAAAAGAGTGTTGAGTTTTATTCTGGCGGGCGATCAGTTTGTTGGCAGATTAGTTTTCTCCTGTTGAGGCTTGTTTCTAGGATTTGTAAGGGTGCTTCTAAAGCAGCCCTTATTAAAGGGCTTGAGTCTTGAGGCCTAGTCCTTTTGGGGCCTCAACTGGAGGCCCGAGGTGTTCAGTGAGGTTTCTCCACTCTGGCTCACCGAAACCCCCATGTCTCTTCGCACTGGAAGATCTCCAAATCTCCTCTCGGCTCCCACCCTTCCAGTTGCTGTTCTCTCTCAGGTTTTTGAGCTTCCTCCTGCACATGTGCCAAGGGCCCCTTTACACACACTTACCGAGTTCCTCCTCCACTAATTCCAGCCTCAGCTGTCTTGACCATCAGTCTCTTTTTGCTCTGCCCAGCAAGCCCACTGCTTTGTGTTTGGGACCCACACTTTCCTCTGCCTTAGAAAGTACCCCCCATAAGAAATCTGGGATAAATGTGGGGTTTGCCCCTTTTGTTTCCCTTTTAAGAACAACAGTACTTTAAAGCAGCTGGTCCAATGCCTGAAAATGATTATTGCATATATTTCTCCAGTTTTATAATTGTTTATGACAGGAGGGTAAATCCAATGCCAAGTATTCTGTACATCTGGACGTTGGCCTTCCTCTATATCTTGTTTTTGAAACTCAAATTTGAATTGCTATGGATTTTGTAACTCCATTTCCTACTATGGCCAATGCACTAAAATTACTTTTTTGTCCTTTGTAGATCTCTGAGTTTGCCACCTGTGGATTATAAAACTAAGAAAAACGGGGTGCCAGGGTGGCTCAGTGGGTTAAAGCCTCTGCTTTTGCTTGGGTCATGATCCCCGGGATCTGGGATCGAGCCCCGCATTGGGCTGTCTGCTCAGCAGGGAGCCTGCTTCCTCCTCTTTCTGCCTGTCTCTCTGCCTACTTGTGATCTCTATCTCTCAAATAAATAAATAAAATCTTAAAAAAAAAAAAAAAAACTAAGACAAACACAGGCACTGGAAATAAAATTAGAAGAGAAAATACAGTTTGAAATAAAAGGTTATTGAATAGAAAAACCGTCCTGTGAGAGAAATAGGCCAAATACAGAATAGAAATTTGACTTTTTTTAAAAAAGATTTTATTTATTTGAGAGAGATCACAAGTGGGCAGAGAGGCAGGCAGAGAGAGAGGGGGAAGCAGGCTCCCCACTGAACAGAAAGCCCAACTGGGGGCTTTATCCCAGAACCCTGGGATCATGACTTGAGCCAAAGGCAGAGACTTTAACCCAATGAGCCACCCAGGTGCCCCGAAATGTGACTTTTTTTTTTTTTTTAAGATTTCATTTATTTATTTGAGAGAGAGAGCAAGAGCACACAAGTAGGGGGAGAGGTAAAGGGAGAGAATCTCAAGCAGACTTCTCGCTGGACATGGAGCCCAGTGTGGGCCTCAATCCCACAACCCACAAGATCATGACCTGAACCAAAACCAAGAGCTGGATGCTTAACCAACTTAGCCACCCATGTGCCCCTAGAAATTGAAATTTAAAAAGAATTTGGGGAATATCTTGCAAATCTCAGTCTAGGTCTTGATCTTGCGGTTGTGAGTTAGATTTGTCAGAGAAAGTATACAGTGGTTTTTGCATCATTAAAGAAATCAAATGGATTTTCACAAAATTGTAGACTTTTCAAAAAATTTGAATAGTAAGAGGGAAAGGTTAAAAATACTCATTTTGCTTTATAAACTTTGCTTTTCTACAAATAATATATGTGCTTGGTGCAAAAGCAAAGGGAAAGGGAGAAAAGAGAAATGAATAGAAACTTTACGATTTATCATTTTTGTAAATGGCAGTGGCACAAAGAACCCCTTATTTTTCCAGATGTTGCAAAACTACAAAGGGGCAAGATGTTATAGGAAAAAAACCTCTTGGATCAGGGCTAGCTCTGTTCCTCATCACTGCACCTCCTTATGTGCTCACAAGCTATCTGCTCCTGGAACTGCTATGACTAGTAGACCCGACAAGGACTGAAAAACAGACCTTTAAGCTTACACCTTCGGGCAGTCCAGAGATGCACGATTTCTAACATTCCTTTGGAAGCTAACATTGCTTTTAGAACAAGGAGCTTGAGGACCACCTGGGTGGCTCAGTCAGTTAGTTAGGCAACTTACTCTGGATCTCAGCTCAGGTGTTGATCTTGGGGTCAGGGGTTCAAGCTCCGAGCCAGGCATAGAGCCTACTTTAAGAAAAAAAGTAATTAAAAGACCCTAGAACAATGAGCTTGATTAACCTTCCTGAAGCACAGCTGCAGTTTTGTAGCTCTTCCTCTCTGAGGTTCAGGATATACTGAATATACTTCAGCCCACCACTTGCTGGTCAAGTCCTGCACTGGGTAAAGTGACAAAGTCAAGGGCAAGAGTCCCTCTGGGACTCTCAAGTCCTAGACTTGAAATTTAAGAAGGTGCAATGCCCACAGCTGTGTATTTTTTTTTACTTATTTCTTTTTGTCCAGACTTTTCCCCCTCTGGTTAAATGCCTCCTGCCTTGAGCCTTTTCTCCTCCTAGACCACCATCCCGTGCCTCTTCCTCCGTTAGAAGGCCCCTTCTGGTCCCCCGACCAAATGTACTCTCTCCTGTGCGTATCTCTGGAGCACCACAGGCAGCCCACGTGCCCGGGCCTGCACTTTATTTCAGTTCCCACTGCATACCTTTTGCCTCTGGTCAACAGTCAGCTTTTTGAGAGAAATGCCTTCTTTTACTTCATATTCTTTGCTGTGCCAAACAGTGTCTGGCACATTGTGGACATTTAGAAACATTTATTCCCAGTATTAATTCTCTGCTAATATGAAGTTAATCTTTTTAATGTGTCCTAAACTTTTCTTTTCCAAATATCAAGGACCCTTCCCTCCTTCTGGCAGTTGTTAATTCATGAACAAACCCACCTCTGTCCTGTTCACAAGGTTTGCAAATTTGTAGGTCTCTATCATATTCCTTCTTGGCCTTCTGGTTTAGGGCAAAGGTTAGAGCTTTCAGAGGGAACTGTGGTGTGTATTCCTCGAAGTGACAGAGGTGGTGGTTAACCCTCTTTCTCTTCCCCACTCAGGGAGATGTTCTTTACTACCATGGAAAGCCATCTTCTGCGCTGCAAAGTGTTAGAAATCATATTCCTCCATAGCTGCGAGACGCCCACCCGCCTGCCCTTGTCTCTGGCCCAGGCCCTCTACTTTCTGAACAATTCCACATCACTGCTCAAGTGTCAGGTACGAGCTTCCCTGCCTTCGGCAGGCCTAGAACACCTTCCCCCTCACCCTTGAGCATGTAACTGAAGAAGGCACCCCCTACCAACTGCTTTCACTTCTCCACAGTCGGACAAAACCCAGTGGCAGACGTGGGACGAGCTGGTTGAGCACCTGCAGTTCCTGTTGTCCAGCTATCAGCATGTGTTAAGAGGTAAGCAGCCGAAATTGTAGGGGAGTCTCACAGTGGCCACTGTCATGAATTGAAGTTACACAGGGGATTCTAATTTGTTAGCCTAAGGAAAGCATCGTTCCTTGGTTATAACTGTAGGAGCAAGGAATGACTTCTTTGGAATCATTGCTCTAAAACAGAAGAAATCACGTACATTTTTCATGGCAGATGATTTGGTGGTCCTTGCAATTAGGCTGTACCGGCAAGCAGCAGCCATCATACCATAAGTACTTTGTAGTGACCTGATTAGACCTAGCATTTTACCCTGACCCGTCACTGCTACGTCATTGTTGGGTTGTTTGCTCAGTGACTGTGGACATTATAAACATCGGTCAGTAGGATACAAACCCAGAGCCAATCAGTGGGAAGGAAAAAGCATACACCTCGCCGAAGTTGTAAGACGCTCTACAGACTGTGAAAGTGGCTTTGCTCCAGTCCCAGGCGGAGCCAGTGATCAAGGGGGGTCCAGGAGGGTTAGACTAATTAACACTCAGGAAGTGAATATTGACCAGGGTAATAATGGAATAGCTGCTTCAAATGAGAATGATTTTATTAGCCAAAGATTAATAAGACCCCTATTCCCAATTACTGATGTAATTATTAATTCCAAAAGGAAAAATAGTAACTTTTTTTTTTTAACAGATATTTTTATTTACTTGAGAGCACACATGAGCAAGGCAAGTAGAGAGAGAATCTCCGGCAGACTCCCTGCTAAGCACGGAGCCCAAAGTGGGGCTCGATCCCATGAGTCAGGGCTGAAACCAAGTCAGGTGCTTAACCAACTGAGCCACCCACATGCCCCAAAAGATAGTAACTTTTTAGGGGAGAAAACACATTCCTCTCAATGTGATGTCCTGAGAAGGACGCGTCCTCACTTAAGCAGTGTTCTTGCCAAAAATCCATGACCTGAATCTAGTCACAAAGAAGCATCAGACAAATTCCCACGGGAGACACCTTCTATAAAATAATTGGTTTGTGCTCTTCAAAAGTGCCAGTGTCTTAAAAACAAAGACAGACCAAGAAACTGTTCCAAATTAGAAAGAAACTAAGGCTCATTAATACTAAATGCAAAACATGATCCTGGATGGGCTCCTGAACCAGGGAAAAGAAGCTATGAAGTATGTTATTGGGACGACTGATGAAATTTAAATAGATTAAATAATATTATACTAATACTAAATTTCCTATTCTTGATAACAAACCTGGCTATGAAAATAAATGTCCTCAGTCTTAGGAAATCCGGAGTGAAGTATTGAGAGGTAGAAGGGCACAATGTTCAACTTCTTCTCAAACAGTGAGGAGGGACAGTACATATTTATATGTGACTATATGTAAATTTTATGCATTTCTATATAATCCACATTTTATATATATATATTTTTTAATTTATTTATTTGACAGAGATTACAAGTAGGCAGAGAGAGAGAGGAGGAAGCAAGCTCTCCACCAAGCAGAGAGCCCGACTCGGGGCTCGATCCCAGAACCCTGGGATCATGACCCGAGCCGAAGGCAGAGGCTTTAACCCACTGAGCCACCCAGGTGCCCCCACATTTTATATTTACTTGCCATCATCATGTTGAGTTTGATTTTAGCTCAGTAATGGCACTGGGGAAGGTACAATGGCCCTTATGCCCTTTTGGGCCTAGAACTGAGGAAGCTGTTGTAGAGAAATTAAAAAAATACATCACTGAATTTAAGACAGAAGGTCTGGGTTTGAATCCCAACTCTACCACTCACTCTGCTAACTTTATGTCTCTAAACCTCATTTTCTTCTGTGGAGTGGGCATGGTAATATAGAACTTTTCAAGACTGATTGTTAATAGATGTGAGAAAAAATAGTGAGCGCTCAGTTGGTGTTAGTGAAATCTCAGACTGCCTATTTGCTCAGCCCAGAGTAAGCTACGAGATCTTTACATTTCAGGCTCTTGTAACTAAAACTTGAAAGTGCATTTTCAAGGCCATGACATTTGTGGTTGTGTTGTTTGTGCATTTTTTAGCACCCTCAAAGAAAGGTACATGTCCTTCTCAGAGCAAAGCCCCAGAGGCAAATTCCATGTTGTACTTAACCTCATCAATGTTTACATAATTGTTCTTTTGGAAAACAAACAGAAAGGTTAATATTAAAGCAGACTGGTTTCATTGAAAGTTCACCTTTAACACTCCTTGTTTACTTCTGTTTTGCTTCCCAGGGAATACAGCTGGTCCTTGGGCAATAGTGACTTAACATGGACATGGGATCCACTTTCATTCCAGAATATTTTTATGCTTCTAACAAGGGAGAGGAAAGCCTTAGACCAGTGTACCTTGGCCAAGAATAAATAGGTGTGTTCCAATGCTATTTAAGCCTTACCATCCTCTCCACTTTCTTTGGAGACCAAAAGTTAAGAAGGAGAAAAAATATTTAGAGCCAATAGTTTGGAAACAGTGTCCTCCTAAGAAGACAGCTAAATGGTACCCTGAAATCATCAGTATCCCTGTCAGTAGGCTTTTAACTGCAAGGGCTCCTTAGTCATCCCTGCCCTCTGCAAGTGGTCCAAGGACATCGTTGAAGGCATTTTGGGTCAGCCTGAGTTGTCCAGCTCCGCAGCAAGGAGAAGAAGGGAAGAGGTTGGGCAGCCCAAGCTTGTCCTTTGTTTAGGGGAACATCTTAACATGTTCCCCTAAAGAAGAGAAGAAAGGCTAGGGAAATTCACACACCCTGGCGTATGTAATTCAGTTACCTGGTGAAGGTATCATCCCCTTTTCATAGAAGGGGAAACAAAAGGCTGAGAGAAGAGTATGTGCAGAGCTAGGATTCAAACCTAGGTCTGTTGCCAAAGTCTGTGTGCAGTGAAAACACACTTGGAAGGAATTATTGTTCCATGAAATCACTGGATGAGATTAGAAGGTGAGAGTTTAAGGAATTTCCAACTCCCTGTTTTCTAAACTCTCTGTACATGGTTAAACTACTTTTGCACGGGGAAAACTATAACCTGAAGCCCCATACTTGGTAAATATTTCCAAAGAAGGCAGAGCAGCCCCGTGGAGGCGTAGATGCTAGGCTGCCAGATAAGCTCACGTTCTCTGGCTGAGAGTAGCAGTCCCACCGCACCTCAGTTCCACAGCCATGCAGCTCAAGTGTGAGCCTCAGCAAAATTGCAAATTGCTTTATGCCATCAGTTTTCCTGGTATTTGTGAATTATTGCCTCTTATTTTGAAACTATGAATGCTAGGAATTTTAACATACAGTATTTAAAGGAAGAAAAACATCTGCTTTTCCTGTATTCCACTTGGCTAGACAACTTGGGCAGGATGGCCTACAGAAGTCAGACCTCAGTTCATTTTGAGGAGAGACACACACACAGCCTTGCTACAAGGAGCCCTATCCAGAGAGGAGAAAAAAGCAGATGCAGGCAAGATCTGGTCAAGTCATATTCATCCAGGCAATAGATACTTACAAAATGCCTTCTGGGTGCCTGGCTCATTGGGAAAACTTCAGTGAATAAGACCAACATGGCCCCTGCCCTCACAGAGCTCACTGTGAAGAGATTGACCCTAAACAAATAATCGCATAAGTAACATATAATCACAATTAAAATAAATGCTCTGAAGGAAAGGAGAAGTGCACAAAATAGGAGCACCTAATCTATTTTGAGGGACCCGCAGTGGCCTCTCTGAAGAAGTGATACTTCAGCTGAGCTAAGAAGTGCTGGTGGGGAACCTGGGTGGCTCAGTCGGTTAAGCACCTGCCTTCAACTCAGGGTCCCGGGATGGAGTTCCACATGGACTTCCTGCTGAGTGGGGCATCTGCTACTCCCTCTGCCTCTGCCCCACCCCCTCCACCCCCCACTCACGTTCTCTCTCTCAAATAAATAAATAAATAAAATCTTTAAAACAAAGAGGGGTGACTGGGTGGCTCAGTGGGTTAAAGCCTCTGCCTTTAGCTCAGGTCGTGATCCCAGGGTCCTGGGATGGAGCCCCGTGTCAGGCTCTCTGCTACGCGATGAGCCTGCTTCCTCCTCTCTCTCTGCCTGCCTCTCTGCCTACTTGTGATCTCTCTGTCAAATAAATAAATAAAATTTTAAAAAAATTAAAAACAAAAAACCAGTACTGGTGTTAGCCAGACACATAGGGCAGAGTTTTCCAAAAAAATTAAAAATGGCATGTTCAAGGGCCCTGAGGCAGGAAGTTATTTAGTGAGTTTAAGGAACATAGAACAAGCTAGTAAGATTGGAATGTAGAGAGCAAGGGGAGAATAGCACGATGAATCTAGAATAGTAGTAGGGCCTTCTGGGCCATGTTAAGAAATGCCAACTCAATTCCAAGAGTGAAGAGAAGCCATCAAAGTGGTTTTGCATAAGGTTGCTCTGCCCTCAGACTGAGTAGTTTGGTAGACCAGAGATGATGGGGGTGGGGGTGTGGATCATGTTGGTGAGGGTGTGGGTTGTGTGCAGCAGGGAACGCAGTGAATGGGACAGAAGCACTTTGAAGATCAGTTTCTGAGGCCTTGGGTGACTGAGTCTGAAATGTGGCTCCAAGGTTCTGCCGAAGGATCTACAGAGAAGATAAGCGAAGATAAAGAAGATACAGATCTACAGAGAAGTGGGGTGTGGCTATTGTGTTGGAGATTCCTATAGTGATGGTGATGATGATGATAAAATAATAATAGTTAGCCCAGGGGGCGCCTGGGTGGCTCAGTCAGTTGAACTTCTGACTCCATTTCTGCCCAGGTCTTGAGCTCAGATCTGTGAGCTCAGGCACCTCGCTGGGCTCTGCACTCAGCATGGAGTCTGCATGAGAGTCTCTCTCTCCCTCTCCCTCTGCCCCTCTCCCTCTCCCCCTGCTATAAATTTAAAATAAATAAATAAATAAATAAATAACCTAATTTTTAAATGGTAATAATAATAGTTACCCCTGGTAACCTGATCCAGGAACCTAACAGTAATACTATGAGCCAGAACATCTTGTATAAGGCATTGTGCTAAACCCTTTACATAAATCACCTCACACAGTATTACCAACAGCCTCTGATGTTAAGACCTCCCGTGCCTACCGAAGCATTAAATCCAAGGCCTTGCCAACTGGAGCAGAATGGCTGAAGTCCACTTTCCCTTCTTCCTCCCCTCCTTTTTTATTTATTATGGACTCGGCACTTTTTAGAATTTAATGTGTATAATTCATATTTGTCGTTATTTTTTATGACCATGCCCCAAACATAGCCAACCATGATTGTGCTGGCTTCTTTATCCTTTTGACGTGTTCCCCTGTGTGTGTGTGTGTGTGTGTGTGTGTGTGTGTGTTTGCTTTCCCCCCACCTTGTTTTTAAGCATTCCTACTTTCTTAGGTTCACCTTATAATTTCCTTTCTGTGGTCCTAGAATCACCCTTTCCTCCCCAAAAATTCTGGTTTCTCTTGGTAGAGAGTGAGGAAAAGCATTTTAGAAATCAAGAATCAAGATCTGGGTGCTAAGTATGCTGATTACTACTGGGGTCCCTGCTTCTAGGCCCTCTGACAACAAAGCTAATAAATTACATAATTTTTAAAGAACTAGGTGTTCATAAAAATACCTCAATTTCCACTCCCTCAGAATTCTTCCTCTCCTCCTATTCCGTAACTGAATCACTCTTCTCCCACAGCAAGAACCCCTATTTTGAACATGGATATATTTACTTGGTCTCTCATACAGCATACACATATTGTAGTAATTCTGTTTAAAAGAAACCATTTTGTGTATGTTTTATGATAGACCAACACTACAGTAAACTAAAAAGCTAATTCAATATTTCTTTGCAATTCTTTTTATACTTAGAAACAGTCTCCCAGAAGATGTTAAAAACTCATGTGGGTCTTTTTCAAGTGGTTATATTAACTTGAAGTATAGTTGCATTGTTTAATCTAGGTTCATTGCTTAAGTCGACAAAGGGAGAAAACTAAGAGTTTTAATTTGTACAATTTTAATGTGTAAAGCTTGAGGACCAGAGAGAACCAAGAACAGAGACCTTTTAGAAATTGAGTGACCACAGATACTCAAACGGCCTTTGACTTATACTCCAGTAACCACCAGTTAAGTCTTTGCCTAGACCTACCTACTAAAATTGGAATTCATCATAAGTCATAAAGGAATAAAAAGTTCAGAAGATTCCACTGACTTCTTCCCCTCTTGCAGAGCACTTGCGGAGTTCAGTGATTGATCGGAAAGACTTAATCATCAAAAGGATTAAGCCCAAGCCCCAACAAGGGGATGACATCACAGCTGTGGACGTGGAGAGGCAGATCGAGGCCTTCCGCGGCCGCCTGACCCAGATGCTGGGGGAGCCGCTGGCACCCCAACTCCAGGACAAGGTGCACTTGTTGAAGCTCCTGCTCTTCTATGCCGCCGACTTGAACCCTGACACAGATCCTCCTCTGAAGAACTGGAGCAGCCCCTGAGGTCCTTCGAAGCACTGAACACCAAGAATACCTCCTGAACTCTAGCTCCAGCTACCTGGAAGTTCTAGAAGTATCTGAAGTAGTTAAAAATCTTACAGGACCAAACCTGTCTTATTTATCTGTAGGTTATAACGACTTTCTAACTCTTTAATAAATATCTTTCTTTGATATTCTATCCTAGCCCATTCTCAGATACGGCTTAAATATACAAGGTGTATATATTTTTTCATAAATTATTTATCTATACTTTTTTTGAAACAGGTAATACTATGTGCACTATATGTTTAACATTTCCATTCAATATGTGAAAAAAGCCCTCTACTGAACAAATTCTGGACATCAATGTATGTCATTTGAGGTACAGACAACCTGTTTCAGAAGAGAAAGATGGACTCATTTCTCCCTGATGAAACACAAACATCCTGTATTAGAGCTGTTATATTGCCTATGAATTTGACTTTGTGGCCAGTCTGTTAAGATCTAATGTAATGGGGGTGGGGGGTAGAAACAAAAGGACTGAGTGTATTACAAATAATTTGATGTTAAAAGGATACAATAAAAAGGCAATGGTTTTTCAAAATACCAAGTTTACTGTGCTTAGGTTCTATGGCTGTGAGTAGGCAGAATGTAAGAACAACTCTTAAATTTAAAAAAAAAATCCACATTTGAGAAAGCAGTTTAAGAAGTTTGTTTATTGTCAAAACAAATAAGAGATACAAGCATAACAGAAGACACAAATAAGTTAATTATTCTGATCATTTTAGACGCCAGGGCTTCTCTATGGAAAGGTCAGCTCAGCTCCTTATGTAGACATGATAGTATCCAAAAAAAAAAACAACAGTGGGAATTTGAGACCGCATTTAAGACAATGACTGAACACATACATGGTGAAGAGAAATAAAGAGTGGCTTCCTTAGTTCCTTCCCTCAGTAACTTATGTATTTATAAAAGTATGCAGCTCTTTATTGGGGGCAATGATTTCATACAGAAAAATTTTAAATTCTTGCACTTCCCAGAAAAAAACGTTTTATGCCTGACCTGAACAAGAAAATCAAAATAGGGTGACGCTAGTTTCACATGAACCTCAAGACTACCATCTAAATGTAGGTGCCGCCTTGTGCAACTTGAAAAAACTTTAACATCTATTTATCTATACCAAACCAGTAGACTGAATTTTCTCCCTTAGGAAGTTTTCAATCAAATTGGAGATAAATTATTTTCATTTTAAAAGTGCAAAATAGGATATGCAAGACCAGCGTTCATTCTGTGATACAGAAAAACGAAGCATCCCTCCAACAGCACTGGCCAGAAGTGCTCCTGTAAGAAGTGGCTATAGGCAAAGTGACCCGGAAGGCTACGAAACACAAGAATGCTCCAGTTCTGGCCCAGGAAGGGGGGGTCCCTGCCAAGTCTGGTCACCAAACAGACCTCAGGTCCCCCAGCTGACAAGACTGGAGCACAGAGAAGTGCACAGTCAAGAGGGTCAAAGTCCCAGCTAGTTCGGGCACAGCTCAACTCCATGACTAGGCCTCGCACATGTTCACAGTGGTAAAGAAGTCAAGAAACCTCAGTTCCGGAACAACACAAACGTTATTTACCTCGTAAGCAATGATCAAAGTTCTCGTCTAAGGTAAATGATACAAAAATGAGTAATGAGATCCCCCATACATCACTGCCAGGATTATTGAACTTTACACCATATAACATGGCTTCTTCCACACAAGGATAAGCTTTGCACTACCATTTCTCAAAAACCAAGTATATCTCCAGCTCTAGCGTTGGTTTAAGAGGTTTTAAAAGAAAAAAACACACACAAAAAAACCTTTCCTATGTCAAAGCCAAGGTAAAAGGGGAGTTGGATACAAGATACCCTCTATCCAGAGTCCCTGGAATACAAAGAGCTCTAGAAGCCAGTGGGTGTGAGCACATTTAAGTCACGGGGTTTGAGATTATGGGTCCGTGCCTGTGGTTTCTTCCCTTCCATCACTGGGATGTCCATCTTTGGTGGCTTGAAGGTTGCTGGATCTTCGGCCATTCGGGTGGCCTGGACACGGATCAGTTCCATTGGAGAAGGCTTCTGGGCTCCTCTGTAAGCCTGGGTGGCAAAACCTCCTACAGAAGTAAACCAAAAAGCAAATTATTTCAAATTAGTAGGCAACCCCCAATGGACATGGTAAAATGCCATCCACGTGGGTGTTTTCGGAAGGAGCTGCATTACCTGAATCAGACTTCTGGAGGGATCTTGGTCCAAAGAGGCTCCATTTATCTGTCAAGTTTTTGTCCTTGTCCCCACCTGCAGAATCCATGGTGCCAGGATTTGGGCCAGGTAAGGCTGTGGAAGGACCAGAATTGAACCAGCCTCTGGAAGACAAAGAATAAGGCATATCATTACATCCTCTTCCTATGCCTCTAGAAGCGTTTCATGCTGAGAGACTGAGAACTCCAACCCCCTCTTCCCCCCCGAAACCACTAGGCTTAAAGTCCACTTTTGTATGCAGCACTGGCTTTTCTAGAAGCACACTGCAGCTCGGGAGGCTCATGAAAAGGGCTCACCTGGACTTCTGCTTAGGGGAAGGGTGGGGGCTGCTGCTTGGGGTGGACTGGGCTGAGGCGGGCTGCTTCTCCTCTCTCGTTATCTCTCCACTCTGTAGCTTTAGTTTCTGTCCAGATGGGTAAGAAGAGAAACTCTTTTAAAATGAAAGCAAATATAAAATAGCTCCTTTGGGTGTAAATAACTTGGTTCACACTTCAACTTCAGGCAAAAGGAACCACATTAGTACGTAGAATAATTTTGGATTATAGAACAGATATTCCTTGATTTTGCCATACTAGACAAAATTCCATCTTTAAGAAAATCTATTCATTCTACAACATATCTCAAACAGCTCTGTACTAAATATCACACTAGAGCTTTTACTTTTGGAGAAGTAATTTTTCCATACTTTCCCAGTAAATGGAAGAACCAGAACTCAAGCTGGAGACTTTGCAGGCCTTTTAAGTAGGGCCTTGAGCTCTTAGGCTGCTTCTACCAGGTACAAGCGCTGACCTTCCCAGTGTCTTAAAGCCAAGAAGACTCAGGCATGCTATTCCTCTCCAGCTAAATGCTTTCTCTGTGGCTCCTATCCCCTTCTCTCCCTCTTCCCTCCCACAGCCAGTGACTCTGGGTTCCCTGGGCATTGTAAACATGCCTCTGACATACAGACTGGCTGTCTAGAAAGAGAGAGACAAGTCAACCTCTCAGTTCTTCTAGATCAAGCCCCCCCACCACTGTCTCTGTGCTCCATGTCTAGTAAGCCCAAGCTATATTTCAAACAAATGAACATGTCTAAATGTTCTCAAACATGCACCATAACAATTTACGTGAGCTGGCATTTCAGCCACCCTCATGTTCTACTCATGTGGCCAAGATGCAGAAAATGAGCCAAAGTCAACTCTACCATTATACAGAGTAAACTACCCAACTGAGGAATTCTGACTCACACCTCTCCTGCGAAGTTCTCAAAGACTGAGAGTGCCCCTCTCCAGAAGTTTCTGTCTTGTCTGAGAGATTGAGCTGGTCACCAACCCAACCTTGATCCCCTGCGGCAGTGGTTTTTAAACTTAGAATGCAAAGAATCATCTGAGATGCTCACTGTGAAATGCAAACAGTCCACAATGTCTTCTATCCTTGGCCATGGGCCACCAGATCCGTATTATTGCAGAGCCTGCTATGTATTGTGTATTGGGAGCCCCTTCAGGAGCCAGACTCTCAGACGACTTTGGAATATGGGGAGAAAAACACCAGGAAATAGGGAAACAGGAGACCTGAGTTCTAGTACTATGACTGGTTAAATATAGGACCTTGGATTGGTCTCTGCATTTATAAGATATAAACAATAGTATCTCCCTCCAGGATCAATACAAAGATTGAGTGAATGCAAGTGCCTCACAGGTCACTATGAAGTACCAACTGGCATTCCGCAACAGAAAATGCCTTGAAACTATATCATCCATCGACTGTTTGGTTGTTATTAACCTTACCAAAAATCATCCTTCACTCGTTTACAATTTTAGAAATGAAAAGGCAGAAACATTTCCATCCTACATCTGATTTTAATTTTGTAAAAAGGAAACACAGAGCATGATCTTCCTTTCCCGCTCAAGTGTTACCTCTGTTAACATTACCTGGTTCTCCTTTCTCCCTCAAAGTTGGTCACTCTGGTACACCAAGTACCCGCTTTGTGGGCCCTAACGTGCTCACACGCAGCATACGTGTAAGCTCCAAGTCTCAGCTGCCCCTCCTAACCATAAGGAAACAAGGCAGATCCCCTCACTTTATAGACAGGTAAGTGGAAACCACAGACTAAGAGCCCTGGAGCTTTCAACCAGAAAGCACCCCCACGGTGGGACTAAACCAGATCTGAACTGCTCGCCTAACTCTTTCTACTGCTCTCCACATCCCCCAGCTAAGCGAGCCAGTAACGTCTAAGCTTCAGCCGCACCTCAAGCTACGAACAGGGAGGGCTTTTTTTTTTTTTTTTAAAGATTTTATTTATTTATTTGACAGACAGAGATCACAAGTAGGCAGAGAGGCAGGCAGAGAGAGAGGAAGGCAAGCAGGCTCCCCGCCAAGCAGAGAGCCCGACGCGGGACTCGATCCCAGGACCCTGAGATCATGACCTGAGCCGAAGGCAGCGGCTTAACCCACTGAGCCACCCAGGCGCCCAGGGAGGGCTTTTTTAAAGTTCCTAAGAAACAAGCTTACGTGGAGCGCTTCTGCCACTCGAAGGTACTTGGTCTCCTCGGTGGTAAGGCCCTTGTGGGGTGTGTAGCCAGCATCGCTCAGCCCTGCCTGCTGCTCAAAACGCTGAATGCTCTCCTGGGTCTGTTCTGGGAACAGAGGACATGAAGGTCATACCCATCCCCCTCCCACCACAAACCGGGGCAGTTCAACACAGATAGCCTCTCTTCTCCCCAGAAGCAAGAGACCAACCACACTGACCACTTGAGGAAGACGGGTCCCCCAGACAAGCATCACAGCAGTAATGCTGGACCTCGTACAAACGTTCTCTAACAAGAAGGAAGCCCTCCCTTACACCATGCTAAGAACAGGTTACTCCGAAAGGGAGTGTCAGGTAACCTCCAGGGAAATACTCCTCACCCTCCTTTATGCGTGCACTGATATTTTCTTTGTACTGAGAAACTCAGCATGGAGAAGGCAGCTGACATTCCGGAAAGTCCAAGTTCTCCAAGCGCAAAGCTTCCTCAGCTTCAACTCATCACCCACACACAGACTTCCACCAAAGAGAAACGGGCCACATTTCGGCTACGTGGCACCACCATGCCAAGGAGATCCCAACCACAGAGAATATGCCTTGAACTGGCCAACGTTTCTCACGTATGTGCTGTGCCATCCCAGCACCTGGCCTAACAGACGGGCCGAACTCAGTGTTAGCTCAGTCTGGCCTGACAGCGCGCCAGTAAGTCAGCGAGCCTGTGGAATGGCGGACAGCCGCAATTTTGCTTCCACGGCACCCACACTACGTAATCCACCCCTTCACACAGGAATGTGGCGGCTGTGGACCCAAAGCCTAGATGCTAGATGTCTTTTATGACTTAGTCATTCCCCTCCTAAGGAACTCTTTTATGATCATTAGAAATCGAAGCAAAGGGAAAAAATACATAAAGATGTTTTCCAGTCTTACCAGGTAGCCACCTAAAGATGTAAAAAGCAGGAAAGGATTTAATGAGTACCAGGATTTTAAATTCAAGTTATTGTTTTGTTTTTAATTTAAGATCAGAGCAACAAAGTTCATGGAAATACTAGTTAAGAAAAATAGGATGGTATGTCTACTCTACCTGTGACCATATTTTTATACGTATTTTTATACGTTTAAAAGTGGACACGACGAGACCAGGCAAGTGTCTGAGTGACACAGCACACTGGGCTGCCAGCACATTCCATACAGTGAGGGACAGTGTTTTCAATGACCGAGTGACCCTGTGCTAAGAGAGCACAGGCTGAGCTCTCAAGCCCTGCCACGGTATGTCCTCAAGCCGGCAACACACAGGGAGTTATCTGCCGAGTCCAACGGTCCTTTACACTGGAAAAAACAAGAGTGAGTAAGATTCTGGACTCTCAGTTCTTCAGTGAATTCTCCAGAACTGCCCGAGACAAGCAGATGCCCTCCTGGAGCGGATGAACAAGAGCTTCCGACCTGGTAACTGAGCCAACTAAAGCACCACCACGTGCCGTGCGAGCTAGTGCGGACAGGCAGGGCTGTGCATCTGATAGATGGTAACTTCCCACAGCCTCCAGAAGTGCCCTCCAGAACTGACAAGTTCCCTTAATTTGTTACAAGGTTTTAAAAGAGAGGAAGAAAAAAAAAAGGGGAAGAAAAAGAAAAGCAAGCTCTCTTATTCCTGGTCTCATTAGAACCGCAAACCACACGTTCTTAAGGCTAAAGACGCTTGAGGCACCAAACTTGCCTCAGGTTCAGAAAGAGAAACAACTTGGAGCCTTTCAATTAAACCAAAAAAAAAAAAAAAAAGAAGAAGAAGAAGTAGTAGTGCAGGCAGGGCAAGTGGGAGATGCTACGGTGTGTCTCCTTCTCCAGGACGGACTGGGAGTCATGGCAGTGGCTCCCAGCCACCAAGCACCAGATTCCTTATTTCATGGAGAGGGAAACAGCCTCAAGAGTTAAGTCACCTGTCCAATGCCACACTGACACATACGGGAAAATAAGACCGTCACCGACAGAGCAACGGGAGGGAACCTAAATTAACCGAGATGTTTCATATTGAGCCAATCTTCCACCTAAATGCATCTCCAGCATCAGTGCATCAGTGCCCACGCCAACAAGCGCCAGGCTGTCAGGCCATGCCATGCAAAGGCGCAGACACTGTGCCATTCCCCAGAGCCAGCTTGCAGGAAGCCCCAACTCCTCCCACCCCCACAGCCCTCTATTCTGAGGATGCAAAGTGCTTACTTGTTATCAGAGAGTTCATGATGACATGAGTTGCTTTAGCCTTCACCACAGGGGCCTTGTCCGCGCCGTCAGTGGCCGATGACAGGGTCACGGCAGGGGAGGAGACACTGGCCTCCCCTTCCTCTGCCTGTTCAAGAGAGGTAAGGAGGCGCTTAAGCTGGGCAGGGGAGTCACACAACCAGATTTACTCCTTTGGGGAAGAGGTACTGAACTAGGGTGCCTGGGTGGCTCAGTGGGTTAAAGCCTCTGCCTTCAGCTCAGGTCATGATCCCAGGGTCCTGGGATCAAGTCCCACATGGGGCTCTCTGCTCAGCGGGGAGCCTGCTTCCCCTCCCCTCTGCCTGCTTTGTAATCTCTCTCTCTCTGTCAAATAAGTAAATAAAATCTTTAAAAAAAAAAAAAGTACTGAACTACCTTTCATCTGATACATAAGGAAATTATCTGAAGGGGGGCTGGCTGTCTCCACCTAATTACATAGGTATTATCTTAAGTGACAATACACAAAGACATTATACGTACAGTGTGAATCTATAAATGTGGGAAAGCCAGAATTTGAAACTCTGAGGTCTACTACCTTCCCAGCCCCTGTCTGTCCAATATCCTATACTACTGTGTCCCTAAGAATGCAGAAGAAACTCTTATTACTAAACCCTGACCATGTACCAGGTCTGGCTTTTGCTTCATCACTGCATTTACTAAGTGGTTCTCGAAGTTTGCTAAGCATCAAAATCCCACAGGAGGACTTGTTAAACAGACTGCTGGCCGCAGCCCAGAGCTGATTCGGTGCGGGGGGAGGATGCAGCTCAAGAATTCATGTTTCTAACAAATTCGCAGGTGATACTAATGCTGCTGGTCCCCAAGATCAAAAGGTTCAAGTAATGGTCTTTTAAAACAAACCAAAATAATGATAATCATCATCATCATCATCATCTAAGTAGCTCCCAATCTTTCACATGAGAGAGCTGAGACATAGCACCTTCTGTCATCTAAACACTGGACACCAGGCTCAGGAGTAGCAGGGAAAAAAAACTGTGTTTATTCCGTTCTCTGCTTCTCCAAAGGAATTGAGGAGAAAGATGGTCCAAAAGGAGGACAGCAGAAGAAAGTACTGAAATGCTGCAACCCTGTTACAAAATAGGATTTACATCTTTTAGCTGTAACCCTACTTGAATAAAAGGGATCTCTGCTTCCTTACTTGCAGCATGGTTGAATTTGGGAATGGAGCATCAGGACAAATGAAAGAATGCATGTAATGAGTCAAGCCAAGCTTTCCTTTGAGAGAGCAGCTGTTCCAAACTGTCAACGGTTCCAGCTAGGGCACAAGAGAAAACTGGAATGGAAGCCCATCCCTTGCCCAGTGGAATAAGCAGCAGCCTTTACCATGAAATGGGTGTGCTCCGCCAAAGCACTCTAAGAAGCCATGCTTGGGGCGCCTGGGTGGCTGAGTCGCTTAAGCATCTGACTCTTGGTTTCGGCTCAGGTCATGGTCTCGGGATCACGAGATCAAGCCCCAAGTCCAGCTCCATCAGCACTGAGTCTGCTTGAAACACACTCTCCCTCTGCCCCTCTCCCCACTCGTGCCTCTCTCTCTAAAATAAATAAATAAAATCTTTAGGGAAATAAAGGAAGAAGCCATGCTTGTTTTCTGCCCTTGTCCCTTGAGTCTGCTGCTCTGGTCTCGCAGCCAGGCTGCCAGGCCCCTTCTCCTTAGCACTACCTGGACTTTCAACACTAAATGGTTTCTCTTCAACAAATGACTGGGTCAGATTTAGGTAGATAACTGATCCGGAAAACTTCCCCCAGAGCTGTAGGGGACGCTTTCGTAGAAAGAAGCTCCCTATTTTGAGAGCTTCATGCGCAAGGGAAGGGGGCCTCATTGGAAAGGAAGGATTAAATACGGCTCTACCAAGTGAAAAGTTTAGCAAGGAGCCAGGAGTCACACTACCAGTATGTCAAGCTTTCTAATCCTCTTCTATGTAATCCCCACAACACGTCCATGCCATAAAGTATTCTCAGCTCTCAGATGAAAAACACTGTGACTCAGGGGCGAAGCTGTGTCCCCAAGGTCATTGCTAGTACACAGTCCCTTAGGGGACTCACACCCAGGTCTGCTTGAGCAACTGGTTACTGTGTACTTCCTACCATGCCCTGAGCTGTCACAGGGCTCAAAGTTCAGTGAAACTAGCTGCAGGTTAAATGGCCTCGCCGAACTTGGCAGGCCTAGTTTATTCAGGCATGCTTGGTGGCTGGAGAGTCAAAGGTGAGGGAGACACACAGCCCCTGCAGTCAGGAAGCAAGTCTGCCACGAGCATGTGAGAACCTATAAAGCCAAACTGCACAAAAGCGCTGGAGAGCAGATCAAGATGCAATTCGGGGTATGTGTGTAGGGGGGTGGGCCTTAGGAAAGATGCAGCTTTTTTTTTTTTTTTTAAGATTTTATTTATTTATTTATTTATTTGAGAGAGAGAGAGAGAGAGAGAGAGAGAGAAAGCATAAGCAGGAAAGTGGAATGCAGAGGGAGAAGCAGACACCCAGGGGCCTGATCCCAGGACCCTGGGATCATGACCTGACTCAAAGGCAGACTCTTAGCCAACTGAGCCACCCAGTTACCCGAAAGAAGAAGCTTTTACAGAAGATGGCGGTGGGAAGAGGCATCTGAGGTAAGAGGAACAGCATGAGGAAAAGCACAGCATGTGTTCAGAAAAGAGCCAATTTCCCCCCAGTCACCCAATGAAGATTTTTTTTGGAAACCCACTTTATGCCAGGTCGTCTGTTAGGTATTGCCAATGGGAGTACAAAATGGGCCATGGCCCTGACCTCAAAAAGCTAATGGGAGGTGATAAAATAATGTAGGGATTACAGCAAGGGTCTGTGGTATAGGGAAGAGCTCAAAGGGAGAGATACTAGTCTTACCGAGAGGATGGAGGAAAACCCTCACAGAAAAGACGTCTGAGCTGAGACTTAAAAGATACCACTTATCAGGCAGCTGGAGTGGGAAGAGGGGTGAAAGAACAGAATGGGGACTATAAACATGCCAGGCAACGAGCAGTGTGACACCAGACTTAGAGGTGTAAGATACTCAGTAAGTGCAAGAAATCTTAAATAATTCGCGTGGGTGGATCACCCAGCAGAGGGATGACACAGAAGAGTCTCAGATAGCAGACATGACCATTCTCATTTGAATTCACAAGGAAAAAAAAGGTCCACCAACTCCAGCTGAGGCACTGAAAACATACAAGAATTGGTGACCGCCCAATTCTATGACGGCCAGAGCCACTGAAGGCCTCTGGAGCAAAGGAAGGAAAACAAAGAGGTCGGGCTTGCCAGAAGCAGTCAGTGGTGTCAGATACCTTGGCAAGGTGCTGATACTTGCGCTCTGGAATCACGGGCTTCCAGGGGATGCTGCCCATGTCCGATGGAGGAGGAGTCATGGGTGTAGGGTCCTCGAGGGCATCATCATAGCTGAATGCCCGGCGGTACATCCCGATGGGCAGGGACATCTTGCCTAGAGGCCCACTCGGCTCAAGAGCTAAGAACAGAGATACCTGTCAGGACGGGTTCAGCAGTTGAACATGCTAATATCTTTAAATTCATCTCTAGGCAGGAAAGCTCTGAAATACTCTTATTCTTGGACAGAGCCATAGCTCATTCTGGAATAGCTAATCCACTCAAGGAAAAGTAACAATACTAAGTCCTTTCTTTATGAATGACACCTTGAATTCTCCACTTTACCCATTCAGAAGCCCTAATCCATTTTTACGGAGTAGAATAGCAAAGTTTAATTTAAATTTACTTGAGCAAACTCATACAACTTCAAAGTACAGTTTGGAATCAAAATCTAAACCTATCTGACTTCAAAGCTTGTGTTCTTTATGCCACAGAAGCCACCCCACACAATGCCAAGGTTCTCAATTCATGCAGGACTAAAGATATGAAGTTGTTGATCCCATTTTATAGATAAGGAAACTTAGCCCCAGCGGTATGAAGTGATTTGCCAAAGCTCATACCGAAAGTAGCCAGCTGGGGCTCAACTGCAAATCTTCCGCCTTCCCTATCTAACTCTACCAAAACAAAACAAAACACAAAACAAAAACCCAAAAACAAAAGTGCTATTACAAGAAATATTTAAAACAATTTGCTGTCCAGTGTCACCTCTAGTTTCAAGTATTCTGTATGATTTAAACACCAGAGCCGATTTCCATCACTGAAATTGTTGGCAACCACTCTCACAGAACACTGGCAGGCGCTCCTGCCATTCCAGTTCACTGGAAAGGACTGGCGGAATGTCCCATGGTGACGCAGGCACCCCACTTCAAGGGCACTCTCAGTTCTGCCAGACCAGGGAGCAAAGTTCATTTTGCTTGCCCGCTAATCCTTTTATAGCAGAACATCAGTCCAGATCCTGCCTTCAGCATGTTTTCTTGCTTAAAATTATACCATAACTCTCGAAGGCATCAACTTCAATGGCAGTAAGTCCCAAACCCGCAAAGACACTTCATTTAAACAGCAAGGGGAACAAGCAGCTATTATTTTTATTACTATTAATAATAATTACTAGCAAATCCATAGAAATAAAGAATTGGTGGTTGCCAAGGACTGGGACCGGACAGATAAGGAGTCACTGTTAATGGGCACAGGCTTTTCTTTTTGGAGTGATACAATGTTCTGGAATTAGATGGTGGTGATGGTTGTACAACCATGGGACTATACTAAACATCACGAAATTGTTCACTTTAAATGGGAATTTTATGACATTTGTATTCTCTCAATTAAAACAAAGAACAGCAAATAATGATTACCAAATACCCCTCCTTGGTGGCCAGCCACAGCCCTCATCTTACCTTATCCTCAGTAAGCAGTTATTCTTCCCATTTTCCAGCTCAGGAAACTGAGCATAGGTTTTAAGCGACACCCGGCATAACACATCTAAGCCAGTGCTCACATTCTACATGCAATACTCCACGCTCCCCACACTACAACGCTTTAACCTTCTGAGCGCAACTCTATGGCCCAGGGGGTGACAGGGAGTTTATGGTAACCACAGCAACAGTGAAAGACAAACTAAAACACAAATGGATGATGTCAAAGACCAGAGATGGATACACATCAGGAGACATGGGGAAAACTCCACTATTAATCCACTTAATTTGGGAGCAATTTCGAAACATCCTAAAGGCTCCTCCCAGCAGCCATCTGACAGCCCTCCTAAAAATAATAAAGCCAGCTAAAATTCAGTAGGTAATATACTCCTACAGACAGAGACCAAAAAAATGGTCTGAGCAGTAAATATATATTCATCATTAACTTTTAACTCACATTTCCACGTATGTAATGCTTATCTTCAGAGCAACCTTGAGAGAGAGGCACTAACTTTACTGAGAATCAAAATTTGAGTGATGCAGATTTCATTAAAAATCACTGGCCCTTCCCACTAAAACAGTCCTGGGAGGGATCAATGACTTCAGTAATGCAGAAAGTATTGCCCTACACAGACCCGGGATTCATTAAACGTTACCGTGAGCACTTTCCTAATTTGCCAAGTTTAATCTGTTTTTCAATCAGGCTGGAGACTTTTTGCCCATACCTCTGTTCTGCCCACCCCCCAATCCCCTCCAAAAAGGGATGAATACGTACCTATTACAAGAACTACACAACTTATTCTGGATTATTTGATATCTGTAGGAAAATAACAAATCTGGCATACCTTTAAGTATGAAATGACTGTTCTCTCTCAGTTTCGGGTTTGGGTTCATACCCTGTCTGGGTGGTTAATAAAATAATATTTAAATGATGCCAATCTATTAGATTTAAATACTTGCCTGGTGGCAGAAAGTAACCACTATACACGGTTGAGGAAAAAAAGTGGTTTCTATTTAGCTTAAAACATTAAGGGCAAAGTAAGACTTTATCAAAAAGAATTAAGTTTACCAGGCACTTCTGGTTGTCTCGAAGCCATTGAAAGACTGGGATCCAGATGCTTTTTCTATATAGAATTCGGAGCTGAGTCCCTGCCACCTAATAAAAATAACAAAGGGCATTTTCTTACAGTGAACACCAAAGAATAGATCCAGTGCTGTTCTTCTGACAGGCACACAGAGTTTTATGGCTGTTTACACAGTTGAATCACACATAAAAGAGCCAATGGGTGACAAACATGCCAAAGGAGATTAAAAAAAAATTTTTTTAAGGAGAAAATCAAAGGTCTCACCTGTGGCTGATCTTAACACCTGTGATATGACAAAGACACTATACGTGGTAGAAAGGTCACCTTACCAGAGTGAAATGATGTGATGATTGATTATGATGACAGACAGGTATTAACGAGGAACATTGTCCAGCTGCTGCACATTAGTAAAGCTGCTCAGGAAGAGTCCGTCCATTTCAGAGGTTCTAAGAGTGACAAACAACTAGCATTGGTATAGCCCTTCAGAGTCTGCCAAACACCTTCCCTACCTTCATGTATTCCCCACAACCTTGCAAGAGTGATTACACACATCATTTTTAAGTAAGTTAAGACTTACTTAACCAACTGTAAGATGCTATTTACCATAATGGGTAAATCCATTCTTTGTTGCTAACACTAATACTACTAAGGGTTTTAGACAACACTTATCTTGTGTTTTAACCCTTGCAACAACTCTGCAAGGCACGTATTATTTATCCCCTAAAATTTTAAAAGAAGGAAACTAAAAATCAGGAGATATGATTATGTGATTTGTCCAAGGTCACAGATAAGTAGCCAATCTGCAAGGCCGGTGGCTTCACCCCCATTTTCAGGGATATTAAAACAAAGCCCTGAAAAAGCCAAGTTATTTGCTTTTCAGCTTGCAACACTGTCCCTCCACCTGATTAAGTTCAGGGGACAAACTAGTTAGTTCTTCATTAAGGAGCATAGAAGAAACCAAAGTTCAGCCATCCTCCGGGTCCAGGAAGCATTCCGACCCACATACATCCTTTCCACTTCCCCTTCCCTTTCCCGGTTCCCACTCCCCCGCAGAGCTCACGCGACTCCACGGAATACGGAACAAAGCCACCAGGATTTGAAAGGCCAGGTCTGACCCAACCCCCCTCCCACCCCGCGAGACTAAGGAAAAGGAGATTAAGGCCCGGCCCTGGCACAAGCCGAAGGTCCTCCGAGTGCAGGGCAACGCGGAGGCATGGGGGTGAGGGCGAGGAGGTCCCGGCCTAGGCCAGTCTGAGGATGTCAACGCTAGACCGGGTACAGGGGATGCAGGGGGACCGGTAGAGAGAAGTCCCACTGGGAGACCCCAGAAGGCGGGGCAGGAGAGGCAAGGGGAAGTCGGGCAGAGCTCTGCGCCTGGGGAGGGAAGAAGGGAGGGGGACTGAGAGGCCCCGGGTCGGCGCCTTGGTGAAGGATCCAGAGATGCGCCCCTTCGGATGCTCGAAGGACAGAGCCCCAAGGAGGTCCAGGCCCCCTCCGTCTGATTACCTGTTCTTCCGCCGCCGCGGGGCTGCCTGCGGCCCGAGCTCTGGCACTAAAGAGGCTCTGAGGACCCACGTCTCACGAGACGCTGTGGCTCAGTATGGACCCAAGCCATGGTGTGGGCAGCGTTATGCCCGTGGCGACACCGAAGGCCCCCAGATACCAACAAGGGAACACAGGCCGCCGGGCCAGCCGGCAGCCTTCCCATAAAGCCCTCCTAGGTCTCGTCACATCACGCGAGACTTGGCCCGAGAGGCCCTCGGGGCATTTTGGGAGCTGTAGTCCAAGGTGGGGAAGGCTCCGCGACTTCTTTTGCAGGGTGAGTTGAAGGACTACAGTTCCGGGTGTAGAACCGGCCAACTCCCCGAAGAAAGGTCACCCTTTATCACCATCCTCTGCCTTGGTCCGCCACAGGCTGAGGAAGATGGAGATGGCACTGCAAAGTGACACCCTCAAACCCGTTTCGCGGAGGTGAAGTTGGGACCCAGAGAGACAAGACCTCGCTTGACAGAGAAGAGGTTAAGTGAGTAGGCACCCCCTTCCAGAAATAGCTGGGTTAGGCAGGGTTCGTACTAACAGCACAACCGAGGAGCGCCTGCTCTCCTCTCGGTGACGTGGTCCTAATATCATTTCCTTTTTACACTAAGGAAAGTGACACTTGGAGAGATGACATATCAAATGTCACATCCCGAAGGAAGAAATCTTTTTTCCCCCAATGTGTTTACAAATATGACAAAACAACAAGGTTGAGGAAGTAAAAGAAGATGAAAAAAGAAATCTATCCCCGTTTCTTTGTTTTTTTTTAAAGATTTTATTTATTTGACAGACAGAGATCACAAGTAGGCAGAGAGGGAGGCAGAGAGAGAGGGGGAAGCAGGCTCCCCGCTTAGCAGAGAGCCCGATGCGGGGCTCGATCCGAGGACCTTGAGACCATGACCTGAGCTAAAGGCAGAGGCCCCAACCCACTGAGCCATCCAGGCGCCCCTATCCCCATTTCTACCCCACGTCCAAAGCTTGCCGTCAGGGCTCATCTCAGGGGGCCTCTGAGGACTGAAGGTGGATCTCTCGTTTAGACTCTGCCTGGGACCTTTTCTGGGCCTACTGGCAGGCCCCACAGGCTTTGCTCCTGCAACTTTAAACTTTGAGTGCCATTACCAAACCACAGTGCTTGAGCGCACCATGAATTCAAGTCTTTTATGATTCTAGAATTAGCTTATGAAAAGCACAATTACACTGCAGTGTGATTTTTAATTTTATTTATTTATTTATTTATTTATTTGCAGCGTGATTTTTTATGTGTGTTAAGTGTTACTTTGGGAAAACAAAGTGTTACTTTGGGCATACTCAGTGAGTTAAGCAGCCAAGTCTGGATTTGGATTCAGGTCTTGTTCTCAGGGCTGTGGGATGGAGCCTCCTATCTGCCCGGCGTGCAGAGTAGGCTTGTCATTCTCCCTCTGTTCCTCCCACCCCTCTCGCTCACTCTCTCTCAAATAAATAAATAAATAAAATCTTTTTTAGAAAACAAAACCAAAAAGCCCCACAAAAATAAATAAATAAAATGTTTTAAAAAATTAAAAATGTTACTTTTGTTAATCTGGAACTTTTAAAATATGCTATAATTTTTTACATTCTGTAGAAGTAAAGCTGTCCCCTTGCCCTCCTCCATCAAGAGGATAGGCTACAAGGCACGTTTCAGTCAAGGGGGAGAAACAGGACTTTGCACCCTTATATAAATGATAAGCATCAGCTTGTTTTTTTTTTAAGATTTTATTTATTTATTTATTTGATAGATAGAGAGGGAACACAAGCAGGGAGAGTGGCCTCCTGCTGAGCAGGGAACCTTATGCGAGGCTGGATCCCAGGACCCTGGGACCATAACCGGAGCCAAAGGCAAAAGCTCAGCGACTGAGCCACCCAGGCGCCCTGTGCCAAAGCATCTTACATTCCTGCTTCATGGGGGAGGAGGCAGGCAGCAGGACGGAACCTGCCTGCCTGCCTGCCTTCCTCTGGACATCTGCCCTCCCTGGCCAGTCCAAGCCCTCAGAAAGGCCCAATCCTTAGAGTTGCCAACATTCTCAATGACCCATCAGCAGACAGGAACTTGTTTATTGAGAAGGAAGCAAGTGGGGCATTTGCATTTCTGGGGTTTCTGGACTGGGAGCTAGTTCCATCTGGAAGCCTGCCCCGCATATCATCATGGATGAGGCATTCCCATTGCCCACTCAGCAGCAGAGAAAACTAACACTCTCAAGGGAACATTGGCAAAGATACCTCAGCCAGGAAACGGCAGAGGTGAAATTCAAGCCCAGGGCTGAACCCCCTGCTGATGGCTTGGCTGCCCGGTGTCCTTAGCCTCAGCTCCTCCCCTTTTAATATCCCAGGGACAGGAGGGTTGAAGGCACCACCCACAGAGAAAAAAAACTAGAAGTCACATCTCCCTCTAGTGGTGAGGGGGAAAGATTTCCCTGAAGAGATTAAAGGAGGTTGTGTCAACTCTCAATAAGGTCCTTAGAGAACAACTTCCCCAGGCTGGTATTATTACAGATGGCACAACTAAGGTGCAGAGGATAGAAGAACCAGGCCAATGTCACACAGTTAGCAGTTAATTAAATAGAAAAAGTGTTCTTGTGTCTTACTTAATGTCAGGCATGATGCTCAGAGCATGAGATCCACCGGGGAGGATATGTCGCTTCAGCAGCACACATATTAAAGTTGGAATGATACAGAAGAGATGAGCATGGCCCCTGCACAAGGGATACACTGGGAAAGAGGACACTGTCCCTGCCTGTTATGAGCTAAATTGTGTCCTCCCAAAAGTCACATGTTGAAGTCTCAAACCCCGGCGACTCAGAACAGAACATTATTTAGAGATAAAGTCTTTTTTTTTTTAAGATTTTATTTATTTATTTGACAGACAGAGATCAGAGGTAGGCAGAGAGGCAGGCAGAGAGAGAGAGAGGAGGAAGCAGGCTCCCACTGAGCAGGGAGCCTGATGCAGGGCTTGATCCTAGGACCCTGGGATCATGACTGGAGCCGAAGGCAGAGGCTTTAACCCACTGAGCCACCCAGGCGCCCCTAGAGATAAAGTCTTTAAAGGGTAATTAAATTCAAGTAAATCTGGGAGGCACCTGGGTGGCTCAGTCAGTTAAATGTCTGCCTTCAGCTCAGGTCATGATCCCAGGGTCCTGGGATCAAGCCCTGCATCAGGCTCCCTGCTCAGTGGGAGCCTGCTTCTCCCTCTCCCACTCCCCCTGCTTGTGTTCCCTCTCTACTGTCTCTCTCTCTGTCAAATAAATAAAATCTTAAAATATGTATATAAAAAGTTGCTCAGCCTCACTCCAAATGTGAAAAATACCAATAACAAAGAGATTTAAGTTCATTTCTGTCAGATTTACAAAAGATTTTAAGTTTGATGATACTATATGTTGGCAAGAATATGGGGAAATAGAAACGCAGTAGGTTCTTAGAATGGATTACAAATTAGGACAACCGTTCTGAAGAGCAAATTGGCAATCTTAACTTTGAAGATGCGCAACAGAATGACAGCAATTCCACTCCTCAGGTTATACTTTATTTTATTTTAAAAACTTTTTTTTTAAGATTTTATTTATTTATTAGAGAGACAGACAGAACAAGCAGGGGAGGGGGAGAAGGAGGGGGAGAACCAGACTCCCCGCTGAGCAGGGAGCCCAACACAGGGCTCGATCCCAGGACCTGGGGATCACGAGACAAAGGCAGATGCTTAACCAACTGAGCCAGCCAGGCCTCCCTTCCCAGAATATACTTTAGAAAAGTTCTCACAAATGTGCTCAAGGAGACGCCTATAACAACCTTCACTGCATCACTGTTCGTGAGACCAAACATTTGGACGACAGAAAAATAAAAAAGTAAACTGTGATATAGTCACGCAAGGGAATACTACACAACATTAGAAATGAATGAACTAGATCTCCAGGTATCAACATGCTCAATCTCAAAAACATTATGTTGTGTTAAACAAAGATAATAGTATGTTACCAGTAGAGGCCACTTTTTTTTTTTAAGATTTTATTTATTTATTTATTTATTTATTTAGATTGAGAGCACCCAAGCGTGAGTGCTGGGTGGGGAGCACAGGGAGAGGGAGAGAATCTCAAGCAGACTCCTCACTGACCATGGAGTATGGAAACCCACGTGGGGCCAATCCCACGATCCTGAGATCATGACCTGAGCTGAAATCAGGAGCCAGCCACTCAACTGACTGAGCCACCCAGGCACCCATAGAGGTCACTTTTAGGCAACACGTTTGAGCAGTGGAAACATAAACAAGGCAAAAGGGCCCACAGTGACCACCAAGCTGAAACAGGCTCATCAAGCGACCCACCTCAAAATAACCATAGGCCCTAACTGACTAATTACAACCAGGAGCAGTTCCAGAGGCTACAAAAAAGGGAAAATTCCATACAGTCCCTTACTTCTTCACCCCGCCCTTTAACTATAGCCCCTCATGACCACCTCATGGCAGACAGTCTCTCCTTTGCTGTCCTGCCTTCTGCTCCCTTGCGGTATATTCAACCTTCCTCTCTCTGGTTCTGCCTTAGGTGTATTTTTTCACCACTTGTGCCGGCTCCCATTCAATCAGAATACGCCACATTACCATTTATGTATATTATTAAACCAAAAAACGTTTTGATATGTATTAATAAAATAAAAGTATAAAAACATAATGGGAATGATACACATCAACTTGGAGATCACGATTATCTCTGGAGATAGGAATAGCATCTCATTTATGCTTGAAATTTTTTTAATAAAAAAATACAGCAAAAGGTTAATTCTCAAGTTTCGGTCAATACATGGGTATCTGAACATGTTTGCTTGACACATTTAAGAATTTTAAAAACATTAAGAGCCAATTAATTAAAATGATGAACAACTCAAGAGCTCATCTATGTGAAAATGAAACATCCTAAAATCCAACCGAGGACCCATGTGAGAGACTCCAAAGCCAATCCCTTAAGTTTTCCTTCTTTTTCAGAAGAAGAGTTTGATAAAATGAGTGGACCTAGATTCCAGGGTCTGTACAGGGGGATACAACATATTAAGAGCATGGTTTTCAAGACACACAGACCTGATTCAAATCGTAGCTGCCTCATGTATTCATTAAATGATCTTGGAGAAACCACCCCCTCTCTCAAGTTGGTTTTCTCTTTTA